AGGGAGAAGAAACGGAAGAAGGAGTCAGTAGGTTCGGAGAGGAGGTCGGGCCAATCCCAGCTTTCGGTTGTTATCGTGGCTTCTCAAACTGTGAGTCCACTTGGGGATGCGAACACGATCGTTTCTTTAGTCTCTCGCAACGAATCGTCGCGTAATCTTTAACTCCGTTGTCCCCATTCGTTCCTCCTTCCCCCACCACCACCACCACCACCACCACCAACACCAACACCAACATCAACACCATCACCATCATCATCATCATCTTCTTTCACTTTGTTTCTTCTTGTACTATTGTCACGTGACCATTTTATTTCCAATATTTCTTATTGTATTTGTCATTATTTCTAATCATATTTTGTTGTTTATTGTAATATCAATTTGATAATCAGGACAAAGGATACTAAGGATTTCAAGAAAGAAAATAGAAAAAAAAAGGTAAAACTACAAATTTTTCATTTCAGTTTGACAATCTGCTTGAGATTCGAGATTTGGATTTTTTTTTTGTTTTTTAGGTTTAAAAATGTTGTTGTTTTTTTTTTTGATTTCTTTTTAATTCGTTGTTTAAATAATGTACGAGTTTGATTGACATTTTGTAATGTTGACTTATGCGATATTAAAAATGTTATTACGTTAACGAATTTGAAAAGAAAATACAATAAGTTTTACACTTGAATGGTTATAGAATACGATCGTCATTTGTCTTGATTTCCCGCGTAAATTATTAGCGCATGCGCCGCAAGTCTTCTCAGTTTAACCCACGTGGCTTAGGAGTTGTTCGCACGTGTTTCTATGTAAAACGGTATAATAAATGATTATTTCAATATTTCTTTGTTGTTTTTATTTATTTTTTTTTTTTTTTTTATAATCGAGTAAATAATTTTCTTCGTTTTTATGATTTAATCGTTGAGAGTAATTTTTTTGTTTTATCTGTGAGAAATATTTAAAATTGACGATAATTTCTAAATAAAACATTTGAATTTGAAAATTGTTTCTTATGAGAGTTAAATGTTTTTTTTTTTTTTAAAGTATCTCAGTAACAATTAAACGAGGGAATTAATTCGATTCATAAGAAAGTATTATTAACGTCTTTCACATAAAACGAAATCATTGAATTTATCATTTCACTGATAAATTGTATCTTGTGTAACATTTAGTGATGATAGATTCGTTGTTAACAAAAGGAAATAAATAACTGTACGGATAACTACTGTTGAATATAACATTGTATTAATCTCTTTTCGTTTGAATTTATTTTTGAAAAAGATTTTTTTTCCCTTCGATCAGTAGTGGTGTATCATCATTTTGTAAACGCGCGAATGTTGGTAAATAAATGCAAAATGATAAAAGGGGCCCAAAGTTGGATACATGTAGATAACTTTTTTTTTCTACGAACTTTGCCCATTCTCGAGGCACGTGGTTTTATTTTCTTATATTACTTTTTTTTTTCTTTTTTTTTTTTGGGTTTCACTCACCCACTCTTTCTATATATAGATTATTATATATATATATATATATATATATATATATATATATATTTTATTAGAGTGTACTAAAAATTCGTGTATTTTTAATTAATATATTAAATATGTGTAACCTTAAAATAATATTAATAATATTAAATTATATAATATATATATTAACCTTATTTATATTATATAGGTTAGGTATAATATATTAATATATTCTATATTAATATGTTATAATTATAAAAAAAAAAATTAACGTAATTATATTAATATATATAATTATAGTATTAGGTATAATATATTAATTCATTATAATATATTATACCTAACCTATATATATATATATATATATTTGATTAGGTTGTATTAAGGTATACCAAAAGTTCGTATATTTTTAATTAATATTTATATATAGTTGCATATATAAAGTAACATTTTATTTACTTCAACAAAATTACATTATTTGAAATAACACAATAAAAGTATCAACCGAAATAAACCTTTTTACCGATTAGAGAGAGTAAAATACGGATAAGACGAACAAGTAGCAAAAAAAAAACGAAAAAAAAACGAAAAAAGGAAAAAATGTTTGGAGTGAAGAAAAATGAGCGGGGGGGGGGAAAAGAAAAAAAAAACAAAATCATATGGAAAGTTATAATAAATAAAGGTTAAAAGGAAAAGGGAAGTTTGATCTTATATGAGATTAGAAACCACACATATATAGTAGTGTCCCCAAGTCGAAACTTCCTGTCCCCGGGTCTCACTCATTGAATTTCGAGGTTGACCCTTCATTGGCGCGCCAAGGAAGCTATTGTGCATTGAATTTACGGGTTACCACGAATCCCATTGATTCGATTGGCGGTCACATAATGACGCATAGTTAGCATGTCACTACACTAATACTAACAACGTGTTCGCGGAGATCAACGGGAAATACATTCGAAGAACAGAAATCAAATTATATATATATATAAATGTGTGTATGTGTGTGGGTTTTGTGTAATGTAGGGTGAACCCAAAAGTTCATACTTTTATTGTATAATTTTAAATCATGCACACATTTTGTGCATTATATATATAAAAAAATATATATATATATATTTCTTTAAAAAAAAAAAATTCAATTAAAAATTTCGAGATAAAGATATTGGTGTTTTATGTTATAATTATCTTTCGAATAAGATCTTTTTGTTGAAAAGTAAGTATATTTCATTTATATTTACACTTGTGGTATGACATGTGTACTGACAAGTACTTGAACGTAGATTATCTTTACAAATGTTTTTCGATAAATTTTGTTCTATTAATTAATTACGAGATATAATAATTGTACGTTATTATTTTTCAATTGTTTACGGACCACCCATCGAGAGAATACATCTTTTTTTTTATTTTTTTTATTTTTTTTTTGAATTGACGATAATGATAAATATATTATCAAAAATCTATAAGAGAAATAAAAAAAAAAAAAAAAAACAAATTTACGATTTTATTAATCGAATCAAGATAATGATGTAGATGATGATGATGATGATGATGATATTAATTTGTATTAAAAAATTTATTACAAAATAATATTATTACATTATTACATTATTATTATTATTATTATTATTATTATATTAAACACACATTATTATATATAAACAATATTAATTATTTATTATAAACAAAAGATATATATATATATATATTTTATTAATACGAAAAAATAAATTATTACACATTGTATTAAACAAACATTATATTATATACACAATATTAAATATTTTCAACATTTATTAGAAAAAAAAAAAAAGAGATATTTTATTAATACAACAAATATTTTCTTTTTCATTTCTTTTTTGTTTTTTTATTTTTTTTTATTTTTTTTTGAACATGTTGAAATGTTATGAAGTAAAATTTCTTCATCTTTTTCTTCTATTTCTTCTTTTTCTTTTTCCTTTTTTTTTTTTATTATCAGTATTATTTGTACATATTACATTTGTGTTTTCATTTTGATTGAAATTATTTTAACGTTTATATTATTTATACCAATTTTTTTCAACAGAATTCATAATTGGTCGAAAACGAGACTGAGTGAGAGTAAATGAGAGAGAGAGAGAGAGAGAGAGAGAGAGAGAGAGAGAGAGAGAGAGAGAGAAATGTTAGTTCGATAAAAGATTGTTGAAAAGAGAAAAAGAAAAAGAGAAAAGAAAACAGAAAAATGTAGATTAAGAAAAAAAAGTATGTATATATATATTTAATCTATATACATATAGATAAACATATATATGATGTATGTATTAAAGTAAAACAGATATGACTGTGTGCTGTTTAATATTCCCCAACTCTTTCAGTTGAAAAAGCATACTTAACTTACTGCTTGTGTATTTGTATTAAAATGATGCGTTATCTTTACGTTGTTAGTAGTTCACGTAGATATCCCTGAGCCCTGTCAAGAGAGTTATCGGACCGAATGAACAAATGAGTAGAACCATATATTATTTTATGGTACAATGAATAAAATATATATATATAATATAGTATATATAATATAGTATAGTAATAGTATAGTATATATATATTAACTATACTATTAGTATATATATACTATATTATTACTATACTATATATTATACTACTACTATATATATACTATATCTTACTATACTATTACTATATATAAATGGGTACAATGAATAAAGTATACATATAAATATATATATATATATA